CAATAGCTGTCAATTTATGCTTATTACTGGTATGTTACTAAGTATTAAGCTATTATTTGATTAAAAATATATTTATAACCAGGAAAAAATAATTAGTTGCTCTCAGATGTACACACGGTGAAAGTAATACACTTGTTAATGCACATGTGGGTTTTTCCAACATTCCCAGGTCATTCTATAAATAGTATTGATGTTCCGACATCAAAAATGATTCTTTAGTTAAACAAATAATTTTTAAGCTATTATTTAGCATAAACATGCTTAGATAAAACATATCCAAAACATTATCAATGATTATTTACTCTGTGAACTATGGGCAAGTACTTTGTTCAAGTGCACGTGCTTTAATACACAATTTCACAATGACCTACATTTCAACAGCTTACTTTGAAAAAAAAAAAATCAGACACCAATATTAATATATTGTTACAATATTTACATGTAAGCATTGGTGCTACATAATGTGCACCCTTTTTGTTGATAGATAACTTTAAAAGTAGGAACATCCAAAAAATGAAGTAAATTAAAATAAAGGGGGGGGGTCACTAGGGGCATATATTCAGTTTGTTGAAAGAAAGAATAACACAACACATTTAAAAAATTCAACAATCCTGGCTTTAGAGGAAAATAAGATAGGTGCAATTTTAATGATTAAATCTATTTTAAAAAAAGAACTCAATTGTTTAAATTTTTTAAAGTTAAATTGAAAATTTATTCAAAATATATTTATCATTTAAATTAAAAATATATAATTATATGTAAATGAAAAATGCATGTGTATTTTAATTTTAAATATAAAGTACAAGTAACTCAACCGAGACACGCCGCGCGCCGTCAGTTCAGCAAAATTCCCCCCATGCATTAAAAATTTTCTGGGGAAAACACTGCATAAATGATTGATCTTCGTCAGCCAATAAGCCAAAAAACTACAGCTAGCAAAATAACAAGTTTATCTTACTTTTCCAAATGAATCTTTTAAAATGGTAATACATGTACATGTAGCATCAACATTCATCAAGCATTGTTATATTTCTTAGATTTTCTTAAATCAAACTATCCTTTTCTTGTTGTAGGTCATAATGTTGTATCAAATGACATTCCAATTTTCTTGAAATTACTTGAGGAGTTTGAACTTCAAGAAAAACTTACATGTTATTGAATGTATTCACTTTATTTTGTTGAATTACATCCTGAGTTTAAAAGTTGTACACCATCATATACAGTTTATAGTGGGATTCCTCTAACTTTTATGAATCTGTGTGTAAAATCTATACTCTAAAGTTACAAATTATTACCTTTAATAGATTATATGTTCTTACGTAAATTATTACACTATTTTTGTATGTATGTAATGATAACCGAATCACTATTTCCCCGCAATTTTTATCGTGTGATGCTTTAGTGTATTAACATCTGACTACTGATGACCAGGCAGTCTTCATTAAACAGGAAACACATAACTCATGCTTTTATTTGAATATCTTTAAAACAAGGATAACATACTGTGGATTGATTCTGTTTACAAAACTTCATAATCACTGGGTATTCTTATACATGTTATATATGTATTTGGAATGAAAAAGGAATTGTTAAAAGAAAGTGAAATTAATACTAATGTTGTGAAAGGAAGATTAAAAGAACAGTTTATTTATGCACAGAATTGGTCAAAAGATATTGTCATTGATAATTCATCCAAGAATCATATGTATAATAAATCTATCCAAGTCAATGTTAACGATATAAAGGAAAGTTTATATCTGTTTGAATGTAAGTGCAAAAAGGTCAACCAGGGCAACATGTGTCTAGGATGTATAAATATTTGCTTTTGTGATATAAAATGTAATTTAGAAGAATATTACAAAGAATTTACTCATTTTCTGTGAAATATTTTGATGAATTCTTTGATAATCTCTCTTAGTCAGCATATTCTTCAAAAGTGCATCCTTTGTAAAGAAAGGGGGTAGGGTAGGGTGTAAGATAATAAACTTGCGCCAGGTTGAAATTAAAACCCATTATGTAGTATGATTTTTTGCTGAAATTTAAGATACCTATTGACTAACTATAATATGCAATAAAAAAAAGAAATTTGATGGGTAATTTTTTCACAATGGAAGCAGAAGTGTGAGTCTTTGAGCAATGAATAGGCAATATTTTAACGTAATTTGACCATGCATCATGGTGAATGTAATTCTGTTTTTCGTTTACAATGCTTGATACTTTTAAGATTGATGTCAAATATTAATTCATATAGACAGATGTTTGAATTCATATAAGACAAATGATAATTAATATATCAATAAAAATTTTATAGCCCTTTTCATTTCTTCTTCTTATATTATTTTACCCTGCTTTTTCAGCTCTTCGGTGGGTGATGAAGGCTATATTAAAATTATCAAATTTCTCTTAAACTAGCCTGATGACCTACCTTGAATTTTTAATATGATTTAGAACAAAGACTCAACACAAACATATATAAAATTCAGAAAATTTCAATGGTTAGTTTTTTTGTTGACAACCTATCAATCTCTACCTTAAACGTGACGGGAATTCATGTAAACAAATATATGAAATGGGAATTTCAAAGCATATACCGTGAATGTTAAGTGTGATTCATAAGGAATTAAAGATTAAGAATCAGGTACGCTGATTTATTCTTATCATGTTTTCTTATAATTAACACAGGCAGCGTTTTGAAATCCCGATCAGCCTTTCCTCTGATCGTTCTAACAACAAAGATGCAAAAGTTCAACACTACGCCGATTACTTTTGAACATAAATTTTGTTTGTATCGAAAGCTTGTAATCTATAGTACTTGGAAAGTGCTGCTAGAATCGTGTGGTTAACATGAATAGATGACAATGCCTTGATTGTATGTACAAAAAGTAAAAATTTTGGTAAGGTTTCGTGCGAAACTTTGGAATAATTTTTTCTGTGTCGGAAGAGTACGATTCTAGCAGCACTTTTCATGGCCCAGTGATGTTTTTACATAATTATTTTTACAAAAAGAAATGAATTATCCCCGGGGTAGTGTTGAACTATTCATTTTTTCATCAAGGCAATTTTTCTATTTATAGACGTCACGTGATGACGTCGTAGTAGAGTGCTTCTTTTAGCCTAAGACTCAAGGACGTCTTAACAATGGATATTAATAGTATATGTTTTATATATGGCTTTATCGATTTATAAATGATACATTTTACGAAAAAAGTCTAAATTCGCCGAAATGTGATCTGGGTACTGCCTTAACATACCTGCGTTGCTGTGTGTACCCGTAACGCAGGACTAATCCAGGGTTCCCACCGTTATAGGCGTTAGCGTCATCTATGTTGCCTTCATCCTTGAAGAAAAGCTCCGATTGTTTTTGTGAGGATAGCTCGTCTTTACCACTGAACAATATTGTTTTTAGATAACTTTTCCAGGGGTAGTTTTTCGTATTGAAAGATACTATCGTATATACTCGCCTATAAGTCGGTTGTATTTTTTAAGCTTCAACTAGAGTGATTGACCCATTAAAATACCAATCATTTTATAACTAGCATATAAGTCGGATAAAGAGTTTTGAAACAAAGTTAAACTCCCAAAAAACCGACTTATAGGCGAGTATATACGGTAGTTTGTTGTTTAGATAAACATCCATCTGAGAAAACATGCTTTGTAGTGGCAAATTGATGATGCCTGTTTTTTTCGTTGGATGCCAAAGATGTACCGTCCGCTTTTAAAAGCCGGGCTTTGACATATAATCTACTTCGTTTAAAGTCAATATATTCCGCTCCAGCCCCAGAAATCACCATCTCAATGGGACTGTCCGCACTGAGGCTGGAAATGGGTCTTGCTTCCGTGAAGTAGACTTTTTCGACCGCTACTTGATTAGTAGGAGAGGCAAGTAGTGAAAGTTCCATTGGTTGAGCAATATCTTTATCGTCCTTGCTTAAAAATGCCTTCTTTTTTTTATTCGTTGAATATGTTCTTATAACTGTCGATGGTAAATACTTTTGTTTGTCTAGGTCTTGGTTTTTTTCAGAGTTGGTTTCTGTTTTCTTTTCTTGGCCCGTGTGGATACGTTTTGTTTTTTTTTTTCCCAACTGACTGGTGGTTTAATTCTTTTTCTTGGATGATGTTAACCGTTTCAGTTCCTTTAAAGGACTGACAGATAGTTGTTTTTGTTGGCTTTTTATACCAGTTTTTAAGTTGACATGGGGTATTCCCTTTTCAACATCGTTAGTGTGTTCTACGCGGGCACGTTTTTCTACAGCTGCCATGGTGTTACTTGAGTGACAATTTGTTCACTTTCCAGTTGTGAGTGTGGTCTTATAGGAATGACATATAATTTCCGCTTTTTCATTCCTCTACCTATTTGCTTGGGTTTATATTTATAGGGGATTAAATTTTTTTTCAGCCATGTTTTTGTAAAATGCTTCCCATATTTTAGGATCACTCACATAGGTTTGACTGTTCATCATAATATGTAAGGGAACTTCTTGAAGTGTAGTGATATGTTCACCGCTCCGTTTAGAAATGAAACTAATTTACCGTCTCTGTCCGTTATATACAAGGATATCTGCTGTATTTGAGCTATTGTTACCGGAATATAATATGGTAATGTAAAAATCATATGACCGTTTGTTTTTTGTTCTAAATAAATCCTTCTCAAAAGAGGCATTTCCTTACTTCCGACAATTGTTTCCTCACAAACATTAGAGCATACAAAGATTTCGTGTATTTTCGATGTCGTAAGCCAAATTTCCGCATTGAATTCGGTTAAAGCAACGGTCCAATAACCATCAAATTGAATTTGTTTATTCAACTGGATTGTAAAATTGTTGGGATTGTTTTGAAAATATTCAGAGCTGTCTTCAGACGATAATAACATACGGGTACTCATCGTGAAAATGAATATGATTCGTTGCTGATGAAGTATTTATCTGATTTTTTCCAGGGAACTTTCAGAAATCCAAGAGTTGAATTTATTAGGCCATCCTTCCCATTTTACATACACTTCCTTAGTTTGACCTCTCCGTCTTTTTTTTCAGTACTTTCTCGACCCTGTATGCAATATCGTCTGATTTCACTACCTTTTGAAGTTCTGGTTGATAAAATGTACCATCAATTGAATCGTCGGTTAAATCTTTTAATTTATAGACAGGAATTCCATCTCTCATGTACCGTTGACTGACTTTAAAATATTCCTCTGTCCATTTCTGTTGGTAATCTCTTTTAAAGTGGTGTTTAATCTCTGTTATGCGTACATTATCTCCTATTTTTAATGTGTATGGATTTTTCTTTTTTACAATTTTTAGTGAAGGTTTTTGCATCGTAGATTTCTCGTCTGTGGTTTTCTTCTTTCTCATTAGGTAGCTCGTATATCTGACTTCTCCAGCGTTGTTCGTGTTAACAGATGCAGGTGAAAATCCCCCTAACATTCTATGTGGTCTGTTATTGTACGTTTTTACTAAGTCTTGTAAAATATTCGTATACTGATAGGTTCTATTTTTTTAAAAAAAAAAGAAAAAAGAAGATACATCATATTCTTCATAGTGCGTATGACTCTTTCCGCATAGTTGGCCTTGGTTTCATTCTGTGTGTACAAGATATTTACATTTTCTTTTTTAAAAATGATTTAAGCCAGCGGTTTTTTAATTCACTATCCTTATCTGTTCGTAGGGTATTTGGCTTTCTCCCCTTCTGAAAGATAATTTTCAATCCATTGATAATATTTTGATGCTGTTTACTTTTTAACGGTACTATAAACAAATAGCGACTAAATATATCGATTAAAACCAACAAAAATTTAAAACCATCGTTGTGACTGGAAATGTTGCCAACGTCGGCCAGGTCCCCATCCCAACATTTAGTCGATCGTGTTAACTATAACCCTTGAACGTGGAAATGTTTGGCGGGTGGGTTAAGTAGACTGTAAGCGTCTTCGTTGTTTAGAATTTGCTTAATTTTTGCTCTACTAATTTTGTATTTTCCGTCTTCTTTGACCGCTTGATATAATTTTTCAGGACCTGATAATGCCCCTTGATTACCAGGAGTATAATACAGTTTTTGTAAATAATCCGTGGTTTGACATTCTGTCAATAAATGATTGTGATACCCTCTAACATAGATCATAAAAGGAAAAAAAAACAAGAAAAATATTTTTTTTTCATATGTCATATAATTAGTTTTCATACAATTCATGCTCTATAATGTGACAAAAAAAGTACATATAATGCATTGAACATAGGTCGTGGTTTTACATGTATACACGTAAAAGATTTATGATGATTAAAAAATACTATATGACAAAAAGTACAGTGTTCTTTTAATCCCAGTCCACATTGACAGTCAGTGAGCTTTGGGATTGACTTTGCTCAGTTTCCATTGGCTCTTCTTGAGCTTCATAACCAAAGGGGGAGCATTCTGGACAACTGAGTTCCCCCAACTGATTTTGATGGGATTCGCTTAACATACATATTTGAGCGTCATTCAATTCAGGAACATTCTCTCGTATTTCATAGACTGCCGATTTAAGTCTATCAAATTTATCTCTAGTTAGGGTGACTCCTTTTTTTGTTGGAATAGGTCCATTTGCATCATCTGGTTTCCAGTAGTGTCTAATGTCCACCGTTGGGAAATCGGGGGATAGGGAAACGTAGACACCACCGCCAATGTGCCACTTCATCCCATCTTCCTGACTCCTATGGTTCTGTAGATATTCCTCTATTTCATCCAGGAGACATTCAAATTTTAGCCAGCGGGGTAAGGGAAAATTTACCCCTTTCTTTGATGGAAAGTGAAGACCATTGGATTCAGAGAAATGACATATGTGTATCATGATTTCCCCTTGGTAAGGCACGGCTGTGAGATAGAGTTTACTGGAGTTGTCCAAATTGATCCTGCATCGTGGCCCCTGTAACTGCTGACTTTGAACATGTGAGTTACTTGATTCAACGTTTTTCTGTCTTTTTTCCACGGTGTTGATAAGAAAGGATCTTGCTAAGGATAACTTTTTTTCGTATTCAGAAGGCTCGCTTTCTTCCATAATTAAGAGCTTGGCTAAGTTATTTTGACCAGCTTTTGAAAGTGCCCTCTTAAGTCCATGGAAAGCTTTCGATCCTTTTCTCAAAATGATGCTGAGTAGTTTTCGGTTACGACTGTAAGTAGTTTTCTCAAAGTGTATCTGTTGCTGCATTTCGTCTGTAATGATGCGATCCTTTGTGAGATATCCAGCTACAGGAATGGCCTTCATTTCCTTCACCAGTGTGGAGTAATTTGATTTGATGAGGTTTTGCTGGTATTGTTCCATGTCTTGTTTTTGAATTCCTCTATAGCTTGTTCTGAAACTGACAATTGATTTGTGAGTGTGATCACATCTCTATGCGTATTTATACAAGGAAGAGGGGGTTCCGAGATTACAAAATGTTATTAAAACACGTGACAATGATAATCACATTGTGACTGTGATTAGCACGTGTATCTAATCCAGTCGATATTGTAAACACGTGATTATGTTGATCACGTTGTGACTGTGACTCCACGTATTACGCTCAAAGATAAAGTTGATGATTTAAAACACCTGACTATGTTGATCACGTTGTGACTGTGACTCACACGTGTATACACTCAATACGGTTGATGTTTTTTTAAAAAAAAACACGTGACTGTTGATAGCGTTGTGACAGTTAGGTGCAAATTACGCTCAAAGATGAGGTCAATGACTGTTCTAATTTTCATCCAGGTGTGAGTATGTCACCTTTTTTTTTAAACTTTTTTTTTTATTTTCAGAGTTTGCTTAAAGTACATACTACAGATAAGCTCGGTTTAACACAAGATCATGTCAGATCACGTTGTCCTCTTAAATTCCTTTCTACAAATAAGTCAAGGTCAATGACTGCTTTAATTTTTCAGCCCAGGTGCGAGTACAGGAGTCTTTTAAATTTCTTTCTGCATAGATAACATCTTCTGTAATACAGGTTGAAGTGGTTTTTCGATGTGTTCAATTTTCCGTTTAAAATGCGCCCTATCTATAGCATACGTCATCCAAATACCACTCCGTTCTTCATATGGGATATAGAAAGTCTGTATATTATCATTGAATTGTATTTTCTTCTTTTGTCGTTTAGGCATGGCTATATGACTGGGGGTTTAGAACGTATTCTATATTTTGCAGGCATGACCTTACGTTTTATAATGTACTCTTCACTCCCCCAGCTGTCTGCAAGGTCGTATCCCCTTTTGATTTTTTCTTTAAAGTTATTAATGCAATCTTCTTTCTAATCAAACCAATCACTTTCGTGTAATGTCCATTTTTGCTATCTTTTTTAAGCGCACTCCAGGCTAAACTATCCCACTTGTATCGTATTTGTCTGTATTCCATTCTTGTTTTTAATAATGGTGTAAAAAATTATGTTTATATATAACACTGACATTAGTGAATGTGACATCTCTGTTTCTTATGACTTGTGACGTCAGTGACTCAACACGTGACTTTAGTGACTGTGACCACTTTATTGACCTAGGTTGTGACTGTGACCTCTTTATTGACCTTGATATGACGTCAGTGACCTCTTTATTGACATATGACGTCAGTGACTGTAAGTGACTGTCCAGTACCGTAATTCTACTAACATAAGGGGTGCCATTCTCGCATTTGTTGAAGACACACTCGCAGCACATGAATTCACAGGATTGAAAGAAGGAGTTGGATTTGCCTACCAAATATGTAGAGAGTGTGAGTGTAGTTTTGAAGACATGCAGACTAACTTTAAAGAAAAATATTTTATACTGCGGTCTGTAGATAGATATGACCAACAGACAGCTGAAATAAGTATGGCGCAGACAGCTGGGATAAGAGACAGTCTTTCAAAGGCTTATGGAATCAACCTACGAAGTGAAGCAAGAAATATTCCTCATTTTGACATTATTAATATGGTACCTGAGGATATCATGCATGTCCTATTTGAAGGAATAGTTAATAATGAAACCCGCCTAGTTTTACGCAGTTTGTTTTCTGACGGAGTCTTCACACTGAAACAGTTAAATAGAATACTTGAAAACTTTCCTTATGGTTACAAGCACAGGGAGTGTAAACCAAATGTAATGCCCCAAAAGATCTTAAACAATTACACTGTGACGCTAAAACAATCACCATCGAGTGTGATTGTTTTCGAAACTTAACTCAGATATTAATAATCCGTACATCGAATCATTACTGAGCTTTGTGAACTAGTACAAACTCTTTTGGCTCCTGTTATAAGTATTGAATCAATACAGATGTTGAAAGTTCTCATTTCCAGGCACTGCAGAAAATTTAAAGAATTATTTCCAGATCAGAAAATAATTTAACAAATCAACATTATTTACTTCACTTGCCATCTTCAAATGAAAAGTATGGTCCACTTGTACATGTATGGAGCATGCGTTTTGAAAACAAGCATCAATTTCTAAAGCAAAAAATGGCAGGTTCAAAGAATTTTAAAAACATTGAAAAATCATTGGCGAATCATTTCGCAAGATTTGAGTGTGCTTTAAGGATAAATAACACAAACTTTTTTTTTCAGAAATCAGCAATATTTCTCATAGATTTATATTTCAATTGGTTACCTGAATAATGTTTACTAGGTATAGTGGGAGATTTTATAAGGTTTTGTCATAAAGTTAAAAAGTTGTGCAAAATTTTGTATAGAATTATAAAGAAAGCGTCACAAAGTCTCATATCTAAGCACCAAAGAAAACTTACGATTTCTTTATAATTTAGGGATTTATTATTTACGTCATTTCAAATCAGTCAAAAAACATATATCAATCCATGCATCAAATTTTTGTTTGTGTTAAGTACCCTTAAATGCCTGTGAAAAACATCCTCTTGTACATAATGATATGGTTGTTGGAAAGTCATAACATATATCAAATATAGCAGAAGCAAAGCAAATCATAAATGCCTTTTTTGAACAAATATTGATTGCATTGACCAAATATGCAGTGTTTTCTGGATTATTCTCAAAGTATGAAGGTGATGATGGTATATGCTGCATAAATAAGGGAATTTGACAATAAAAAAGTTGTCCCATTTATCATATAAAGTTTAGTTGGTATAATTTGCGATCAATGTTTATTTTTCATGTATAATATAGACTTAATTCATATATACTAATTTGCATTATATGAACATTTATTAAGTATGTGCATACAATCATATGTTTTATATAGATGCAATGGATAAAATTTGAGTGAAAGTTTTAACTAGACTGTTATTATATATGTATTTATGCAGGATTATGATAAGTAAAAGTTGCCATTTCCCCCTAATTTTCTTAAAGTAATTGTTGAAAAGAGTTATAAATTCTTTTACTTAAAATTACTTAAATGTATATTTTGAAGAAGTATTGATGTACTCTATAGTTTTACTACTTGCAGTGAGTAACTTTAAGTAAATTCGTTAATTACTCAGTAATATTCAATCATAGTCCGTTTTATCAAACATATTAAGTAACTATATTACTTGATTTAAGTAAAAAATAAATACTAAGTATTATTTTATTTTTGAGTGTAGGCTATTCTCCTGATCTTTTCTTAAAATCAAATACTATGTATGAAATTCCGACTTTTTTTAAAGCGTGGAAACAAAGGAATATGTGTAACTGTTTTTTAAATTTACTTCTTGTGGTAATTCAATTTTCAAGTCAAAATGATACTAAAGTACACACGAGCACGGAAGATTTTCCAACGTGGAAATAATTCGGATAAGTCCCGAATAATCTTATTGACATCTCCACAGTTGCATCTGTTAATGTAAAAATTTGATAATTAAAAAATTGAATAGAGGGACCCTATCCATGGGGCCATGATATTGAACAATCTACATTACCTTTTTTTCCCTTTCTTTCGGGTGTTAGATGTTTTGTGTGCAAAAGCATCACTGTATAGTTCAGATTTTAAACACTTAATTGAATGAGGGGTTGTAATTGAAAATAGAGGTTTAGTTTTCTCACTTTATATGTATAATCTGATGTATCATTGAATAATGCAAATCAGAAATATTACTCAAACTGAATAAGTGAAAAGGCCATGATAAAATATCTGAGTGGACATGGTGTTGTTAAGCGCGGTCCTTGTGTTATAGTGATCCACAGATACACGTTTAACCTCAATAGATACACCTTCTTCAGTTATCTCATTAACCATGTCCTCGCCAAACAGTCAGTTTGATCGAACCTATTTGATCTGTTATTGTCAATACTTTCCTCCTTCAATTATTGCCAATGAGGACATTGGTCATCTGTAACAGAAAATAAAACATACGAACATGAAAATTAACAATAAGAAGATGAGGTGTTCTCGGCACTCAGGGCCATTGAGCAGTGAGGGATGTTTTTCGTGCCAGCACCTACTGCGACACGGGACCTCGGTTTACACGGTCTCATCTGAAGGACCGATCTCCGCATCCTGCAGTGGGATTTGAACCCGCGACGTAAGAATAACTCCTTGCACCGCGACTCTACAGCAAACGCTCTAATCACTGCGCCACGCGGGTGACTGATGGAAAATTAAATTATAGGGAATGAATTTGATAGCTTCCCAAGTTATACTGGTATAACCTGGGTGGGAACAGTTAACGCATTTTTGTAAACTGCCTCGCGGCTTATAAAGCGTAAACTGCCTCAACACAGGTTATCAAATCTGTATCTCTAACAGCTCTCATTTCATGTTTTGACCTTGATCTTTCCTTTGACTGGACTTCCCTTTTCTTAAATAAGTGTTTAGCTCGGTTTTTAAGAAACTATTCAAAATATTATCTAACCTTATATACTGATACATATTGATAATAGCTATTCAACTGCATCAACTTTTTTTTTTTATCTTGATCTTTCTTTTGACCTTGACGTCACTTTACTTAAATTTGCATTTTTGCTCAGTTTCAAAGAAACTATTCAAGGTATTTTTTGTAAGATACATGATTTGTTGAGAATTGATCAACAATCTAATTAAAATCAGATCCTTTCATCCGCTCACATAGATCGCTAAACAATGATCTGACGACACTCCATTTAAGTCATCTCCTGGTCACCTTTCTAATAAAAATATTCACTAAAATTTTGACCAATCAGAGAGATCGTAATTAAGCGACATTCGGGAAAATGAATGTAGAAGTGAAAGCGACTGTGGAGAAGATCTTGTCGTTTCATACAAAACAAAGACCTAAAAACACAAGGCAACAGTAAATACAAAATATATTTCTGTACAAAAGAAAATGTGGTCGTTTTTTTTTTTTTTACAGGCTACGGAAACCAGGTCACAATTTTCTGT